TGAGCCGCAGTTTGCCAACCTCTGTTCTAGGCAGAGGTCACAGCACGTGCAAAGGCCCTGAGGTGGGCACAGGCCCGCTATGTTCCCGATTGGCCAGGAGCAGAGTGGGTGAGGCGAGGGGACCAAGCAGCCGGGTGAGGACTGCCAAGCAGAGTAGGGACAGGATCTAGCTTAAGTTTTAACAGGATGGTCTGTGTGTCCCCCAGTGGCCTGCTGTGTGCATATCAGTCTGCAGGGGACACTGGGACAAGCATCCCGGGGTAAATGCCATCAGTTCCCACAACCTAGGGGCCAGGCATCACTGTCAGATTTCCAGGGCAAAAGGGAGGAGAGACAGCTATGGGGACATTGCCCTGGTCTCGGTCTCCATGTGCCTGTCCGGCCCCTACCAGGGAGGAGAGACCCCGTCCATGGGCTGCAGGCTGCATGGGGCCCATTGTCAGGGACACCAGAGCCAGGCCGTCCTGATGCCTGAGACTTGGTCATCACAGCACAAGCGCCCCCCTGCTAGAGGGCAGGGCAATGGTCCAAGGGGTGCCAGGCTGGTGTGAGGATGAACTGGAGGCTAGAGATGGGGATGTCCTGCTCAGGTCACTCAGCAAGCAGGTGGCAAGGCCAGGGCCAGGGCCAGAGCTGAGCCGGCTAGGGTGGTAATTCTTTATTGTTTAAAGCATTACATATGTCTTGTTTTCCCCCATTGAACTCTCCCTGGCCACTCCCACTTCCCAGCACATGCCCTCACCCTCCTAGTGTCCATGTCCATTGAGGGCCAGGGCCAGAGCTGAGCCGGCTAGGGCGGTAATTCTTTATGGTTTAAAGCATTACATATGCCTCCTTTCCCCACCATTGACCTCTCCTGAGAGTGGGCTGTTTTGAGCCAGGACTGTGTGTCCTCTCTGTGCCTCCTCTAGGGGTGCCCGAGTGTGGCCACCCTGCCTGGAAGGCCCTTTGGGGTTAACTGAGAGGATTCACGCAGAATAGGGCGGGGCAGGTTTGGGGACAGAACTTGCCAGACGAGAGGGAGGGACCGGGTGAATTTTCTGGGCTGCTGCTCCCTTTGTGGGGCCGGGCTCCTGGGGCCTTGAGGAGCTGGGATGGGAGGCGGGAATGCAACCTGAGCCAGAGGGAGAAAGGGACCAGACAGACAGTCAGCTCAGGTCTCCGTGGAGGGGCAGCCGGGCCAGCAGGTGGGTGGAGGCAGAGGCTCAGTGGCGGTACCAGTCCCCGACCACGCCCAGGGAACCGGACGCTCCCCACAGGGCGGTGAGGCCAGCCCCTCGAGATGGGGAGAGCGGAGGAGCGTATGGACGGGAGCCCCGGCTTCATGAATGGGAAACAGATCATTCCAGAAAGGGCGATGGGGGTGCTGGGGGTCACTGGTAAAGAGGTTTGGCAACACCGAGAAAAGGAGCAGGTCTTAGCAGGAGCCCACATTCTCAGACAAGTCTTTGTGGCCAGTGCCTGCTGTCCCTGTGGGACGGGGACACCTCATCCATGACTCCAGGTGCTCCGAGGCGCTAGTCCTGAAGCCTGTGACTGCTCCAGGGACAGGGCAGGCCCCTGGCTGGGTGTCTGGGAAGAGGGCGAGTCCCAAGGAGGCTGCTGAGGAACCCCTGGCCCTGCCGGCATCCGGCATCCGTGCCTCTCTGTGGCCTGAGTGGAGCGGCTGCCCACGGGGAAAGTGGGGGAGGGAGGAAGGGCAGGGTATGGGCTAGTTGACCCTGAGGGTCTGAAGCAGGCCCAGAGCAGCCAGGGGTGGACCCCAGGGGTCAATGCAGAGTCCCGTGTGTGGCTCAGGAGGTCCCAGGCCCTTCCTTGGACATACTCGGGCTTAGGACTGAGACAAGCTCAGGACAAGCCAACATGGGACTGTTGTTGTCCCCTGGGGACAGGAGGGGACCACCAGGGCGGGTGGGCAGCCAACAAGCACCAAGCACTGAGGTCCCCTCCCAGGCGTTAAGTATCCAAACACCACTTCACCTCGGCTAGTTGACAAGGAGCCGCAGGCCTGGCTCTGGGGGCTCCAGGTGGTGAGGGGCTGGTGGGACGAAAGGGGTGGGTCTGGACACCGTGGCCTTTGCAACATGCACAGGAGTCATTTTTCTGAAGGACCCGCTGGACAGCTGTCCCAGGGCAGCTCAGCAGTGGGCCTGTCAGCTGAGGAGGAGGGGGCTGCCTACGGAAGGTGCATTTCTTGGAGCCCAGCCATGGCTGCTGCTGGCATTGGGAGGGGCCGAGCCCCCAGGCCTCCAGGGTTTGGACACTGTACCAAGTGAGGCTGAAGTCCTCCAGCCCGTGAGGTCCTGCCTGGGGTGGCCCGCGTCCCTGGACCCCATCTTTTGTGTGTCTCTGCTGGCCTCCTGGCTGCTCCTCAAGCATAAACACACCGTGGACAAAGGGGCCACATGCTGACCGGACAAGCTCAGGGGAGGCCTGCGTGGCGGTCTTGCAAACTCGGAAATCTAAAGTCACCACAAAGGATGGTCTGAAATTAAACCTTAAAAGCAGTTATGGTGGGCAGTTACGTCCTAGGCTGGTATCTTCACTGACAAGGTCAACCATCACTGAGCCTATCTGTCTCTTTGCATCTATAATAACAAATCTTGAAATGTCTGCGTAACTTGTAAGTGCCCTTTTTCTGAACCTCTAGGGGGAAAACCTAATGTGCTGGGCGCAAGGACAGATACTACAAATTCCTTCATTATTATATGAATTGATCCTGTACCCAC